TTCTAGTGAGAAGCCGTTACCAGTGGAGTTCAACCAGATCTGTTGTGAGATATCAACTCACTGAAGATAATGGTGTACGGTGGCGCAACTTTGTGGATTAGTTGAAGTTAGACATTAACATCGTTAGATACTAGCTCAGTGGTCTAATGGTTAAGCGCTGATAGGTCCTGGGTTCGAATCTCAAGGGGGGGGGCGGGTGGTGTGAGGAGTCCCATTCTAGGACGAAACGACCATCCAATGCTTCCAAGTATTCCATAATAATCTAGCTTCAATTGATTCATGATTTCAACCAGTGAAAATGTTATTTGACAAATTGTAATTTACATTTAATAAAAAAAAAAATAAAAAAATAAAATAAACATAATGCATTAATTACATATTTGAATTCTTATTGTGATAACTCCAATGATTATTTGTAATAAAATGAGACAAAGTGAAACAATCATCTCTTATTATATTCTATTACCGAATTTCACATATTTCAATGACTAATATTTTAATCAAGTTAATATATGTTAAACTAATCATATGATCAAAATATCATCTTCTTATTATGTAAGTATAATTATTTTATGCTATATTACAATACTACTACTTTATGGAGATTTTAAATAGTTTCAGACAAAACAATATAATAACAATCTACAAACGATGATAAACAAACATGAAAGTGAATGATTAACTGTCATGGGTTTGTTTGTTTGTTTGTTTTTCTTTTTTTTTTTTTAAAACATACTATGAAAACTTCAGGATTAGAACAATATTGTTTACATGTGAATAATATTGTTTTTGTTAGATCTCGATGAGAATATTGAATGATAACGTTTAGGATTTATTTATGGATCAATAATATACATACTAGACTATTCATATTCATGTTCCTCTTATCATAACTTACTTACTTTCGCATGTTACTCCTCGTGAAGGAGCATAGGCTGCTTACCAGCATTCTCCATCCAACCCTATCCTGGGTAATCCTTTCAAGCTCTTTCCAGTTCTTATTCATCTTTTTCATATCTGCTTCTGTTTCCCGACGTAATGTGTTCTTTGGTTTTCATCTTTTCCGCTGCCCTTCAGGATTCCAAGTTAGCGCTTGTCTTGTGATGCAGTTTGATGACTTCCTCAATGTATGTCCTATCCATTTCCATCGTCTTTTCCTAATTTCCTCTTCCGCTGGAAGCTGGTTGGTTCTCTCCCACAAAAGGCTGTTGCTGATGGTATCCGGCCAATGGATGTTGAGTATCATGCGTAGACAGCTATTGATAAATACTTGTACCTTCTTGATGGTGGTTGTTGTAGTTCTCCAAGTTTCAGCTCCGTACAGTAGAACTGCCTTGACGTTCGTATTGAAGATTCTGACTTTGATGTTGGTTGAAAGTTGTTTCTCTTATCATAAGCTTTGTTTTAACTAATGAACTATTATTATAAGAATTACCATTGTTGAGTTATGTCCACTCAATTAATTACAGTCTCTCACATTCATAGTCACTTTTGGCTGAATCTTGTATAAATGTTATTTTCCATTTTATGGTGGTCTGTTTGATTGGTATATAAACCCAGTATGTTTGAAATATACGATTCATATCGTGGAGGCTGAGATTGGTGTTCTGGACTTAACAAACAGGAAGCAGGATCGATAAGACTCTACTAGACTGCTCATACTTGTTTTATGCGTCGTCATTGGTCTGGTCGATAATTCAATGTTTTCTAATTGGTGGTATCATTACGTCATAAGTTAACAGGGCACTCAGGCCATAAGTTATAACAGTTTTCAAGCAGATCTTCAGTAAATTTTACTCTAATATATAGAAATACTTCGATGAATACATGAAAAAAAGCATTCAATCAATCAAGATAATTTTGCAAAAGATGTCTTGGATGATAATGGTTAATTAGGAAGGATTATTAAGATTGTAAAATACAGATTAAGATAAGAAATTTAAAGAAAGCGTAAAAGAATAGAATTTCGTAATTGAGAATATATATATATATAGGTGATAGACAGTGATAAACAAAGAGGTATTTCCTGGAGTTCTAGTGAGAAGCAGCTACCAGTGGAATTTGACTGGGTCTGTCGTGAGATAGTAACTCAATGGAGATCATGGTGAATGTGTAGCCCAATTTCGTGGATTGGTTGAAGTTAGACATTTAAACCATTGGATGCCGGCCGGCTCAGTGGTCTAGTGGTTAAGCATTCGCACACGAGAGTGATAGGTCATGGGTATCGAATCTCGTGAGCTGGGATCATGAATGCACACTGCTGTATCCCACAATAGGACGAAACTTTCGTCTAGTGCTTTCAGGTTTTTCATGATGGTCTAGCTTCAATTGACTCATGATCTCAACTATTGAAACTACTATAATATCCACAAAACCCTTCTGATATGAAAGATAAAAATGACAACTGTGACAAACATAAGATTATACTAGTTTATTTTATAAAATGCAGAAAATCTCACAGTAATTTATAGGATAGATGATTTAAACTAATAGATTTGTTGAGATATTGTTAACAGTGTTGACATTTACGATGGAAATATAAGACAGAGAAATTAAACTCTAAAAGAGGTGAAAATCTTGTGGTTTTTCTATACAGTCTCAATATGTAAATAATGGAAAGGTTAGGTAAAGAAAACTAAATAAAGATGGTAAATCGGTTGATGAAGTTGTATATTTTCATAGACTGAGGTATATGAAACACGTGTTCTGTGTTCTCCAATATCATCTACCTTGAATCTTGATGCTAACTGATGTAGCACTAAGTTGGAGTAAGGATGTGAGGAGATAAACTAAGACCAATGATTAGTGAGTATCATTTCCGCCACAATTGTATATACCTCCTACTGATAACTTCCAATTAACACCAAAATTATTGTCTAGGATTTTCTACGGATTAATGACGACCATCTAACATACATACTTATATTAGTCACTTAAGAAATTACTAGATCATCCCGTACAATCGATATACATGACCTATTTTCAATACAGTATGGTTATTGTTGTTATTACACAATAAATAGATACAGAGCATTATGGAATAGCAGAATTTATGCATTAGATAAACTAACAAGCTATATTAAATAATTTAAAGCATATACCGTTTTGCTACACAGATAATTATTACACCAAAAAAATGAGGTTAAAAGGTGAAATTAAATTAGAAATATATATATATATATATTGCTCGGTTAAAAGATTATAACGCCAAATAAGTCAATTTGATTGAAATAAGAAGTTTGTCGAGTTCTTCTAATTTGGAAGTTACTTTCATTTCGAACTTTAATCAGCAGTTATTTATTTATTTATTTTAACACATAGATATTAGTACAAGGAGGCACCAAATACATTTGATTTGTGTGTGAGGGCTGTGATACTGACCGGGTGCCCAAACCGAAGCAGGTGGTTTTCTTAGGGGGCCACACCCCGAGCCTTCGACCTGAACGTCTGATCCACAATGCAGTGGAGCATCGTAAGGAAATGCAGTCCCATGGAAGCCGGTGACCAACGACTGGTTCATACGCCATTTGTTCCCGCAGGATACTGGAGCCAGCCCATGTGCACCATTGGTTTGGAATCCGGTTAAAGCGCCGGACATTCGCTTTTCGTCCTCTCATTTTCGTGAACAACACTCCCTCCACGAGAAGGCAGTGAATAGGACTTCCCTGGCAGAGGCTATATACGCGTGGCCATGTGAGAGCATTTGGAAAGGGAGAGTGGACTCTCTCCACTTCCGGCTGTACCAGGGCATTTGGGGGCAATCAGCAGTAGGGCAGTTGAAAACTAGTAGGGACCAGGCAAATATTTTTTTTCTAGTTAAGAACTGTTAACCGATGTTCATTTGTAACTTAGCACAGAGTTGTAGCAATCAAGAAAACATTAATGAACCACAGATTTTCAATTCAATGCTTTGCACTTACCAACTTCAAACACCTCGGGATATAATTTAATCATGATACAACCTGTACAATTACTGTACTCCTCATAAATTATGGTTGTTTACTAGAATCGAAAGTTGATCCAATACTCTTGGGTATTTTAAATAGTTCTGTAGCTAGTTTTAACTCAAAATAAGTATTGCTTCTAAGGCTTTTATTTTATACAAAGCATAATGATTTTTTTTCGTTGAGTAAATTATCGTTTCAATATACTATTGTTATAGGATGTTGTAGAGATTGATGGATTTGAATATCCATATTATGGACTAATTTTGGTTAGACAGTCGCTGAAAACCAGGAACGACTGGAAATTTATCTGATCATAATACTGGACTTCACAGTAGTGCATACTCACAACCCTCCCGGGGATAAAACCTAAGACTTTGAAATCGATAATCTCTATACTACTCTATCATCAAAACTATCATCTACTTACTAGTGACCAATTTGAAGAGGTGATTCTTGGAATTATAGTAAGGAACCATTGAGGGGATTTAACTATATCCAAAATGAAACAGTTACTGATTTATAATACTGAATAAAAGTCACACTCGATTAAATTAAGAATAAAAACAAAAGGATTATAACTCAAAAACTGAAGAGTTTTCTATAAAGCTTGAAGGTCTTGAACTCAAACCCTGATGAAATCTTAGATAGATACCGAATAAATTTCCAGTATTTCTTGGTTGTTAAGGATTTTCTGATTGAAGTTAATTTGTGATGTAAGAACTTTTGTAGAACATTATTAATATATTATTACTCTTAATAAGATAGATAATATATTGGTTCTACGTAAATTACTTATGTACTTGTATATTTGTATTTTTAAAAAAAATATTATGATGTAAACAGTAATAAAAATAGCATATATAATTGACAACTAACCTAATGTCTTATATTTTAAGTAATCGACTGATCCATTAGATAAATAGTTATTCATTGGAATAGATTGTACCCTAATTTCATTTGTATAGAACAATGATAAAGAGATGAATAATATAAACATTATACTATAGGGGAGTAAATTAAAATAAAGCAAATCATATTGTGTAGAATAATAATAATAATAATAATAATAATAGTAATACAAATAAGCCTATTACTAAAAACAAAAAAAAGGGATTAAAGATAACAATGTCTTTAAGTAAAGCAATTAAAAGGTAATATAGTCAAGACGATCCAAGTCAAAGACAATTCCTGAACTCTTATCTAGATGACATAACATTAAGTCCTGATTAACGATATGATTTTTAATGTGTTGTAAAATATTAGATAATCATTTAGTAATCAGATGATATGGAAAAGTTGTTTATATCAAGTATAGGATGTAGAGGGGATATTATTCTTATGAACTTTTAAGAGTTCATATAGTCTTGGTTTGAATAATTTTTTTTTATGGTTAGCGTTTGGGGGGGGGTAGTTTTCTACAGAATGGGGTGGCTAACCACATGCCCAACCCTCCTCCAATAATCCGGGCTTGGGACCGGCAGTAGCCCCAGAAGGGCTTTAGGCAGAATGGATAGTACACACATTGAGGAAAGCACACAAATGCGTCACAAGGCAAGCCCTCACATGGAATCCTCAAGGCCAAAGGAGAAGAGAAAGATCAAAGAACACATTACGTCAAGAAATGGAGACAGATATGGAAAGAATGAACAAAAATTGGATAGGACTAGAAATGAAGGCCAAGGACAGAGTGGGTTGGGGAATGCTGGTCAGTGGCCTATGGTCCATTGGAAGTAACAGGCGTAAGTAAGTCAATAGTCTTGATATGACGGAATCCAATGATTTAAGATATACATAGAGGTCATAATTGATAATAAATTCATTTTTCGAATTCCTTTGAATTTTTAATTAACATCTGTTCCGTTTCTTTCCAAGTTACGTCTTTTTGAACGATTTCTTTGGAGGAACACTTTCCTTATACTATGTAAATTCACTTGAGTGATTGTAAAATTGTACTAATCATAATGAGATCTGACATGTCAATTAAAATGAAAGAAAAAATTAATTCAAAGATTAATTTCCTAAAGGAAAACAAAATTATAAATCGCATTATCCAACAGACTAAGATAAGGTCTACATAGAAAACGTTACGAATTTTTTTCCTAATTAAAGATATATATATATATATATATATATATATATATATATATATATATGAATACTAATTTCTTTATTTCAATACATGAATAGTGGTAAAAAGGGGCACTGAACACATATGCGCCACATAAATCATTCGACATGTGTAAGGGCTGAGGTACTGCCCGGATGCCCAAACCGAAGCAGGTGTTTCACTTAGGGGGCCACACCCGGAGCCTTTGACCTAAAGGTCTGATCTACAAGGTAGTCAAGCAATGTCAGGAGATACAGTCCCATGGTAGCCGATGATCAACGATTGGTTAATACGCCATTTGTTCCTTCAGGATCCTGGAGTCCATGTACACCATTAGTTTTCCAACTCCTCTGGATGGACTCTCCGTGTCCACTGACCCGATTAAATCACCCGACCATTCGCTTTCTGTCCTCTCAATTTCGTAAACAACACCTTCGCCGCGAGAATGTAGTGATTAGGACTTCCCTGGCAGAGGCTGTATACGCGTGTCCGTATGAGAGTAATAAGGGGATAAGAGAAGAATAGGAGGATGAAAATAAATTACGGGTCAGAATTATGAAAGATAGGCTTCGTATAGTCTTCTAGAGCAGGCTTACCACTAACGAATGTGTTAAGGATAAGCTTCCGCTTTGAGCCACATCAATATACATCTATAAATTTACTTACTCCTGTGAAGTAGGTTACATTGGCCGTACAAAGAGATCACTTTATAAACATATTTCAGTACATTACCTGGCGTAACTTACAGGAGCACCTAATCAACTCTAGACACATATATATTTGGTGCCCCCCTGTACCAATATTTATGTGTTCAAATAAATAAATAAATAAGACACATCTCTTCAAAGGAATCTTCCTTCAAAATAATCTACACAATCAAAGGAACTGGATTGAAGGGTAAGCCAAATCAAAAATTTATACAGTGCTGACGCATTGGCGATACACTCATCCAAGCCCGAATTCCGCATACAAAACGACATATCCAAACTCTTATCCTTCGTTGGCCTTAATTCTCTTCTGCAGTATGTTTTGGCCTGGTTTTATTTTTATTATTATTTTGTAATGGTGAATTGTAATCGGTTATTATTATCCTACATGATAATTATTATGTTTTTCCATTTTTTTATATTACCTTTGACCAAAGTGATATCATCAAGTATGAACAAACTTCATTATGTGTACTAGATAATTGAGTTCACTCATAACTTTACTACCTGAACTTATGTTAATTTGGAAAAGTGACTGACATTAAGTCACACCAAGTCAAGATTTAAACTTTCTACTCATTGGGATATGACAAGTACATTATTATTATTATTCAGTCAGTCAGTCAGTAACAATGTGGAACTTCGTACGTACGTACATCAGTTCGAGTTGCCATACCACATTAGCACAGAGATGTAGTTATCGATTCAGATCCCATAGTGGAAGAGGTAGTGATAGGGAACATTAGGGTTTGATGATATTATTTAAGGAGTATAGTCCAGTGGAATAAATTTGGAAAGAAAATAAAGGACATGAAGAATACAGAAGATTAGAGTTTGAGAGAACACAGAGAGTGGATGCACCTGCGCTATTGCAAACGATTTTCAGCCATGTCATTCAAGGTCTCTAAACATCAGTTGCTATCATCTCGCGATCCCCAACCAAGTAGTCTACATCTACTAACATGGCTCAATCCACTTGTCAGTGACTTCATGGATTTGTGCCATGTTATGGTCTGGCCGCCCCTAGCTTTCTTCCAACCTACTCCTACACCAGAAAACATCGCACGTCGGGGCAGTCAGTGGTTGAGCATACGTAACACATGTCCCAGCCATCTCAACTGATGAAGTTTTACTACTTCATCAATTATTATTATTATTATATCATAATAAATAATCTATCTAACGATTAACCCCGTTAGTGATGCTTATATAATAACGAAGGCATAATAATAATAATAATAATAATAATAATAATAATCTAACTCAATTATATCAAGTACATACTCTTGAATCTAACTGTAAACAAATCCAAACAGTATTTGAATGTAATATATTATATAGTTAAACGAAATTAATAAAATAAATAATATGTAATTAAAATTGTAATCCATAGATGATAAATTTATGAACTGAATTCCTGAATCGTAAGTTCTAATCAACTCATTAATTAATCTAAATAGGACGAAATCTAGGTCTAGGGTTTCCTTTCGACTATCTCCAATCAGCACATTATATTTTAATATAGCACATACGAATCACCTAGACTATTGGCTATATTACAATTTAATCAATAGAATTCAATCTACACTAAGAACGATTTGATATATATGACATTGATCAAAATGAGTACAAGAATAAATGAAGACAATTAATCATAAACAAGGACATCAGAACGGATATCATAATTCAGTACTAACCAAAAAAAAACAGATTATTTCTATATAAGTTAAGTATGTTGTGTTGATAGTGGTGTTGTTTAGTTAGACAATAAAATCAGAGTGGTTATTAATATATAAATGGAAAGAGTTATATATTATTTTAGAAGTTCAAATGATTTGAAATGATTTATAACACTATAAATGAAACTATGCCTTCAACTATTCTAGAGCTATTACCAATCCCAAAACCGGGTAAAGAAGGAGGGTTGGGCATGGAATTAACGAATGAAAGATAGTATTCATTAATAAATGTATTCATGATTATTATAAATCATTTATTTATTAAGAATATACATTTATTTCATAGTAGATAACATTAAAATAATAACAAACAACAGATCAAAAGTTGAAATTATATATAAAACAGAGTAAAAGAAATTTCAAAATCATTCCATTCATTTTTTCAATTTATATATATAATACGATCAAAAACTATGGTAAATAGAAATACTGTCATTACTGCTTTCTATTCTGGAACTATGGTTAATATAATCGAATTTCAATGTTTTTAATTTTATTATTTATTTTAACACATAGATATTGATACAAGGAGGCACCAAATATATATGCGCCACAAAAATCTCATTTGAATTGTGTGTCAGGGCTGTGATACTGACCGGGTGCCCAAACCGAAGCAGGTGGTTTTCTTAGGGGGCCCCACATCCCGACACTTTGACCTGAACGTCTGATCCACAATGCAGTGGAGCATCGGTAGGAGATGCAGTCCCATGGTAACAGGTGACCAACGATTGGTTCATACGCCATTTGTTCCTTCAGGATACTGGAGCCAGCCCATGTACACCATTGGTTTGGGATCCGGTTAAAGCGCCGAACATTTGCTTTTTGTCCTCTCATTTTCGTAAACAACACCCCCGCCACGAGAAGGCAGTGAGTAGGATTTCCCTGGCAGAGGCTGTATACGTGTGGCCATGTGAGAGCATTTGGAGAGGGAGAGTGAACTCTCCCCACTCTCGGCCGTACCAGGGCATTTGGGGGCGAATTCCAATGAGTTAAATGATCTGTACAACTCTAATTTAAGTTAGAATAGATTAACAAACATTAACTCAACCTTTTTACCCAATTGTATACAATAATGAAAACTGTTTAGAAAATTGTATCTCTAGAAGAATTATGTAATATTATTGCATATTCATTACGAATTATATGTCAGTATTGAGCAATCAATCGAAGTGAGATAATATGATCAATGTAATCATGATCTGAACAATACCGTACATAATCTACATAAGCTATTTATCTATAAATCCATCCTAATTTATTCAGTAAAACGTAAGTCAAGATTTTACGAAACAACTTATGTATTGACTAATATCATGTTTATTAAGTGAGGCATTTTATACGGACAGAGATGATATTGGCTTTGTTATATCCGAATACCAATAACACCTAATAATACTTATTTCAATCATTGTTTTTTACGCATTTTTTCCATATTCAAAATACCTACATACTATGATATCATTATTTATGGCATAATGAAACGTGTAACGTTTAGGATTGAAACTGAGACGTTCATACTACATAGATAATTGACGTGGAATCGACTCCAAGTTCTACAGATCACACACTGAACGTCTGACCAATAGAACCACTAGGTTGATGTTCAATGATACAATTTCAGCTTCATGCATCACAGCTTGCAAAGATGGCAGGACTGAAAAAACCTCCTACTAACCCATGAATCAGATTGGCTACTAAGATTTAAGATTTCAGGTGCATAACCTTAGTGTAAAAACACTAAACAGAAATATGAAATGAAACTACAAGGCACGTTTAAACAGCATTATTACATTAACAAATTTGCAACTCTATAGAAAAAATGGATCTACAAAAAATGAAAATACAAGTAGAAAGTTTTTATAAAAAATTATTATCATCGTTCCTCGCAATTCGAGTGTGGCTCATATCCTGATGAACATTGTATTGACTCGCAGTGTAGTGGACGCTACTCACAAGTAAGTTTGTAAGTGGTGTATAGAGGAACGTAGTGTCGAAGTGGCAGCAATCGTCGGACAGAATGAAGAGTTTCAGTGCGTCGAAAGTGTGGCATTGACTGAGCACTTAGAGGCCAAATGAATAGAGAATTCGGATGACAGAATACACTGGAAGATGCAAATGGATATTTGAAGGCTATGTATATGTGTTATGTAAATACTCAGTAACTTTTCACAGCAAATACACCTTCCTCTTGCTTATTGCCATCTTAACAATATCATTGCATTAATTCCAAAGCGGATCATTCAAGTGATGCTCAAATAGATAATTTCTTTGACCTTAAAGATCCAATTTACGCTTAGCTACACTCACATACAGCTTAGAAGAAACATGGGATAAATATTTTCACTAATGTCTTGTTTTTGCTCTTCTAGCGTAATATAAATTCAACTGTATAATCCTGATAAAGGGGAACAATATTGCAGTGAAAACCAAAGGATCAATACTAAAAATATTAGATATGTTTGGAAACACACTTTACAATAGTAATCTCGGTAGTTGAATATTTCATCAATTGACAATCATCCAATAAATTAAGTACATAGTCAATTTCGAAATTTTATCGATAATAAAATCAAATTTGATATAATCGTGGATGCGCACTGCCACTGAGGAGTCCCAAAATAGGACGGAACTGTCGTCCAGTGCTTCCAAGTTTTCTATGGTGGTCTAGCTTCAACTGACTCATGATCTCAACTATTGAAATTACTATAATATCCACAAAACCCCTTCTGATAATTTCATAAATATAGACATTCAATTGCTTTACTTGCTGTACTTGAAATAAGTCTCAGTGTAGATTAATAGTCATAAGCCAATATATTCAATTCAGTCTTTACAAAGCATTAAACCTCTTTGTTAGAGGGACATAGATTGGATTAAATCATGCTCAATGTACGATTGCTTTGGCGCACGCTGATTGGCTGATTCTTATCCAATCAGCGCTAGTTGATACTTGGAGAAGACTCTAGATTCTTCTTATGTAAAAACTATAAATATACTAACGGTTTTCCTTTTGTGCTTCATGCTTCCATCTAACCATGTTATTTGGAATATAATCTCCTTCCTGTTCAACCGTGTTCTGATTTGCGGACTTGTCGAGTGAATTGGTGTCCGTGAATACTAAGCAATAGGAATAGCTGGGTTATAACCGTAAGAGAGAAAAATTATAACACTCTTATTCACTTTTACCTAATAGAATTAAAAAACTTATACATACTCCAGCATAATTGACTTAATAATAAAATTCAAATACATTTGATATGAACTTATATCAAAGAAGAAACAAAACAACTAAAGAAAGTTGATTAGATCATGTTCATATTAAGAAGCAAATTACGAAGAGAAAAAAAAAGAAAAGAAACTTACGTCACTTGATCATCTCTATAAGTAGGCAGAGAATTTCCAGTGTCTCCAACATATGGTAGGTAATATAGCTATGAAAATTAGGAAATACATTAGAGTACATAAGTAAAAAAAAGTAGACAAATATTAGTACTGTTATTATTAATTATTAGTTCACTTTACCAACTATTAATTTGTGAAATTTAAGGCAAAACATTGTGAATTGACACAATTTGCAAATATATGAATTAATGAATGCTTGTTAAATTATCTGGAAGACCTTAAGATCCTGAGCTTGGCCAATGCCTTGGTTGCGGGTGTGAACTACAATAAAATAAGTATATAATGACACCTGGGTTCCGATAATTATTCAATTAAAGTCAACTGGTGATGTAAACTATTATTAATGCAGTATCTGAGTAAGTAAATTCATTAAGATCATAGATTAGTTTTGTGAGAAATTGTGAACATTCTGGACATATTTCTGCATTAACTGTTCCATACTATTTTTTATCACTCTACTATTGAAGGTATAAAATTTTGATTTCAATTATAATCTTTAAAGTAACCTCTTTATAATTATTATTGAGGTTGAACATAGGGTAATAAGTAAAAATATCAAGATCGGTTGATGAGGCTGTGAATTTTCATTCACTAAGGTGGTCGAAACATGTATAACGTATGTCTAACCACTACCTAACTTGACGTGCAATCTTATATAGCATAGGAGTAATTTGAGAAAATATTAGAGGTTAACAAACCGACATTTGACATCAATCCATGAAGTCATTGACTGTTGATCAAACCCATGTTGATAAATGCAGATTACACGAGTGGGATGCTCTTGACTAGTGACTAAATGACATGGCTCAGAATCGCGCAAACACATTCACTAGTTAATTTCATCTAGATCTTGAGTTCATGTATTCTTTCATACATACCTTTTCATTCCATCTTCTCAAACAATATTTTTGAATGTTTAGTCTATTTTACTACTATTACTACTAAAATTATTTTCACGCTTCTATCACTTCATCGTTACGTCCACTTGACTTCATCATGTTGATGAAGAAAAGCAACTTGAGCTAACGCACACTTGTGCCGGGCCCTGTGTTAACTATGACCAACCGATTGATATTTATTATAATTTGTAAGGATTGATATTTCCCAATTATTTACGTCCAGCACTTCATATGATTATAATTTCCTTAAATGTACATAGAAAACAGATACATTTAATCGATGATTCTTTAATTGGACGAAATGTATCAGAAGGGGTTTTGTGAATATTATAGTAATTTCAATAGTTGAGATCATGAGTCAGTTGAAGCTAGACCATCATGAAAAACCTGGAAGCACTGGACGACCGTTTCGTCCTATTGTGGGACTTCTTAGTGGCAGTGCGCATCCACGATCCTGCCTCGCGAGCTTCGAACCCAAGACCTATCGGCCTCAAGCGAACGTTCAAGCTCTAGACCACTAAAACGGTATCCAACGAAATGTGTTATGAATCTTAATGCTAGCCATTATATGAACTGATGAAAACTCTTTTATCATTCCATCATTGTGTGAAATACTAAGTTGAAAATATGATCAATTATATCTGTACATTAAAAAAAAAATTTCTATACCCAAGTTTAATTTCATTTAAACATAATAATCATACTATAGAGTGTACTTAAAGAATAAGCTTAGTTAGTTTAAAAATAAGAAACATTCTATTCTATAGTGTTTAATTACTAAAACCATTTTAGAGGACTGAGTTGTTGAGCTGAATTTGTTCATTTTATTGGCTTAGTTTTTGGAGCCATAATTTCTAATGTTGGATGGTTAGAAATAGTTGGCAGGAATTTCGACATTAACAAGGCCGATGATTTAGAGGAGACAGATTCTTATACAAATAACAACACCCGTGCCACCACTCCCAGTTGCAGTGATAGATCTCAACACTAAACGATCATAGACGTAAATGACCTTTACATGACTGTTTTAGGTATAATAATCGTGTAGTACTTAGATTCACGATAATATATTGAACTTTCAACTTTCACCCGTAGATTCTGAATCACGAAAAAGAACATGCTAAATTAGATTAATTATTGGTTATCTCAACATTAGGGTGTGTGAACATGTACCTAAATAGTTTCAGAAACAAATAGAATCAAGTGACCCAGTAAAAGTAGAGAATAAACATCCATCATCTATTGCTAAATATATAATCGAAACAGGCCATAAGATTGATCTAAACTAGGCTTTTGTGGTGTTGTATAAAAGTGTCAAAGGGCGTATACTAGGGTTTATTGAAGTCTTAACCATACGAAATTTTAAGCCTCCTTAGTGTATTCAAAAACAGTTTGTTCTCACCTTGAACCTATTCTCGTAATACTGGCTTATTATCCAAAGTGACTAGGTTTCAAATTACTTTCACATTATTTCTTTATTATGCTTGTCTCCTCTTACCCTCCATTTTTAGTCTAGTTGACCTTTTATTACAAAAAAACTAACAGAAGATAGAAAATAAACAACCCTAAAATAAAATATAAACCCAGTCTGAAGATGTCTGTTGATGCAATGATTTCGACCAATAATAATAAACGTTTCTGGAAGGCACTAAGGTGAAACCATATTCATCTCAATGCAAAAACACTCAAACTTCGTGCACTCAATTGTATAGATGCTGTTAAATCTCGACTAGTTGAACTAGAACGCAACCTATCTCTAAGATGTTACTCATTGTTTGCACTGTCGTTAGATGAACGTAAACACTTGGAAACATTGAAACACGTAGACGTAATTGTAAGTTTCCAGAGCATCCCGAAAAGTATGTATTTAATCATTCTGCTATTAAACTTTCGTCAAGCCAAATGCAGGCCTTATCATTGTGTCTCAAGTTCTGTAACAACACCTCCAAAACTAGTAGACTTCATAATTTAATGCAATTTGAAAATCTAATAAATCAAACTCATGATCTTGTGCCGATATCCCCACAAGGTCTTCAGCATTTTAAATCCACATTACTGAACTGTAGTCATGGATACATTAATATACAATGTAGTAAGAATAACTTATTAACTAAGAACCATTTGGACAAGCTAATGCTCCCGAAAAGAAATAAGGATTTGATTCTAAGTAAACCTGACAAAGGAGCTGGCGTAGTACTACTTGACTGCCAAGAATATTTGGATAAAATGAGGTTAGTCCTAGAGGATGTCACTAAATTTTCCAAACCTAAAGGAGAAGTAGACAAAACACTGCGAATTGAAAAACAGATAACGGATGTTTTCAAAAATCTTAAGAATAAGGGGATAATAACCCCAGACTTATATGATCACATACATCCAATGGGTTCGATCATCCCGCGCTTATATGGACTACTGAAAGTACATAAACCTGGTTTACCATTACGACCTATTTTAGATATGTCGAGTTCACCATATTACCGAATCGCCCAATGGTTGACTGAAAAATCGGAACCAGTTAGAAGGCAAGCATCTAAATATTTCATTCTTTTTATTGATCGTATTAAGGACGTTAATACTTCCGGACTGACGTTAACTCTGTTCACTAGTGTACATTTAACCGAAACGATATGCCATATATGTGAGTATATTGATTCGAACAATAAAGATCTAGTATCTTCTATCTAGGTTTGCCGACTTACCACTTGATAGAACTATTTTTACGTTGTACCTTTAGTGTCCAGTTCAGTTTCAACAATAAAATATATAGATAAAGAGATGGGATCGCAATGGGGTCTCCATTGGGTTCAATTATAGCACTGTTTTATGGCAAGATTGGAAAACGATCAACTCAGTTCATTGATTAATCGATTTCACCTATACGTAAGACACATGAACGACACATTTGTCGTTTGTGACAATAATATTGAATTAGAAGATACCTTACACACCTTCAACACATGCCACCCTTCCATAGACTTTATGTTAGAAAGTGAGTGAGACTAGTCAATCTCTTTTCTCGATGCGCGTCTGATGAGGAGTAACGGTCCCTTAAAAAGATCCATATTTAGAAAACAAACATGGAATGGCCAGCTGACCAACTTCTATAGCTGAGTTCCTTTAAGCATAACGAGAAATCTCATTCACTCTTTATGTTATCGAATACATCGAATATGCAGTACGGAATGCATTGACGAAGGAAAACTTTGACGAAAAATGGCTATCCAGACCGCTTCATAGATAAGAATATGAAAAAAAGTAGTTGTGACAAGAAATCTGGTTGTTCCGTTCCAAAGAAAAACCTCTATATAAGTTTGGAATTTAAAGGTGATCGAACATTTGACATAATCCAAAATCATTTAACGACAGCGATTAAAAAAACATTCAGTGCGACAAAATTGTGAATAACGTTCAGTAGCAAGAACTTAGTTTCTGTATCCACAAAAGATATTCTTCCCCGTCGGGTCACCTCCATGTGCACCTACCAGTTCACCTGCAATTGTGTAGCAAGGTACATTGGCCGTAGCCAGCGATCACTTTCAACTCGCATACGGGAACACGTTCCAGTTTGATTTTACAAGGGCGAGAGGAAGGCAGTTAGGAGTTCTATACTTAAACACTTAATCGACTGTAATCATTCTACGGATCCACAGTTTGATTTTAAGATTGTATATACAATTCGTTCAGATCTACCTAGATGTCTTCGTATCCAACTCCTAAAAACAGCTGAAGCTCTTACCATCCATGAGCTCAAGTCAAAATTATGAGTACAAAAGAAATACGTCCTATCGTTATCGTTAACTTGGTCTTAATTATTATTATTATTATTACTGTATTCCCCCTTTACTTATGTCTTATATTCTCATTATTTAATTCATAAGTACCCATCGTATCACTTTATTTATTTGTTTGTTTTTTAACACATCTATGACCTTTAGATATTGTAACAAAAACATTTTAATCATCAGACTACATTCACGTAATAATAAAACACTTGAAAACTTCTAAAAACAAAACATTAACTAACAGAAGTTATTCACTTACAGTACTTAATGCTACAAAAAATCCTAATAGTCCACCACCAAGTACATCAGACCAATGATGTTTATTATCGATAATACGTGAATATCCAACAACTAATCCAAGAGCAATATAGATCATTTGAAAGCATGTTCTTACACCTGGATAAATGCGAGAATGTGAAAATCTCAGTTGAAGATAAAGCTGGAAGAAAAAAATAAAATAGAAGACTATATGATCAAAGGGAAAAAGGTATTTTTTTAACAATGTATTATGAATAAATGTCTTTTGGAAAAAGATTTTTCAAAATACTGCGATAATCTATTTCCCAATAAACTGCAAAATAAGTAATAAGAACATAAGATTTGTCACTACTCAGTAATCAATCAACATAAATATTTCAGTTCTACAGGTCAGTTGCAAACCAAATAGCTCAATGGTAACATCTCAGACAGTAGAACTGAGTGACACAGGTTTAAACTGCACTGGTAGCATCCGTGCCCTCGAGATTGTAAGTTCGTCTTCATGACAGCTGTAAAATAGCATGAAAGCTAGATTCAGTGATTTCAGCTGACTACCTCTGACTATCTAACATCTAAACACGGAAAGATCCAGAAACAGTGATTTGTTATTGAATTAACTTAATGGTTAATAATCGCCATACATCAATGTAATGGGGAATTTTATTGGTTTGATGAACGAATTACCGACCGTTAAAAAGAATACATGTTGATAGATTATTTGCAATGATACGATGTGATCGATTGATAGTTGCGCAAGACACGGGATTACTGACGCAAACCCCAGAACGATCTGAAGTCTAGCACAAGACCACTAGACAGAATAGTTTTTACATGTAATAAAATGACATGTTTCTATATACAAAATATGAACACAATAAACATAAAAAAATGTCATAGGCGATTCGAGGGAAACAACATGTAGGTCACTAATTCTACAATCAACCACGACCTTACTGCTGGGCCTAAATCTTTGGACATCGTATCAAATTCGCAGTGACTCTCCATCGACTCTGTTATATCATTGCTTTTGACCATTGTACTATTACGTGAACTGAAATTTCCATCTATAATCCATCCTTTCTGAACTGCATTTGATTTTCAGTTCATAATGTGTACCTGATGATCAGATTTGACTCTGAAGTATTTTGATAAATTCAATCTCTAATTGGATTAAATGAATGAGTAATAGTTCCCACTTATCCATAATAACTGATATTTTTCTTCCCGTCGCCAATGTTGTGAACTACGTTTGGGTACGGTAATTTCTAATTACAAACGTTTAAAAGATTCCTAAATGAAACAAAATCTACGCAAACTAAGTAGACTGGACGACTAATACACAACGCTTTGACAATGATATCCAGCGTGATTGGATGAAAGAGAAGTCTTGTGAGGAAGATGTATTGATGAAAATCTCACAAGAATTAATTTACATTCACATTAATTCAATTATTTGTAGATTATTAAATTGGTACATTGGTACAAAGAGGCACCAAATAGATATGCACCGCATAAGTCATTCGATTTGTGTGAGGTCTGGAATACTACTCGGGTGCCCAAACCGAAGCAGGTGGTTTTCTTGGGGCGCCACACCACGAGCCTTTGACCTACAGATCTAATCCACAAGGCAGTAGAGCAACGTCAGGAGATGCGACCGATAATTGATTCATCTTTCATTTGTTCCTTCACGATACTGGAGCCCATATGCACCATTAGTTTGAAATCAAGGTTTTCTAACCCCCCTGGTAGACTCTCTGTGTCCACCAACCCGGTTAAAGCGCCGGACATTCGCTTTTCGTCCTCTCAGTTTTGTAAAAAAACACTCCCGACACGAGAAGGCAGTGAGCAGGACTTCCCTGGCAGTGATTGTATGCATGTGGCCATGTAAGAGCATTTGGAGAGAGAGAGAGAGCTGACTATCCCCACTCTCGGCCGTACCAGGGCATTTGGGGGCAAATTATTAAAACAATTATTAGTTATAAAATTTATTAACTAAATAATCACCACTGAAGTCAGTCAGTCAGTAACAACGTGGAACTTCGTACGTAAGTACATCAGTTCGAGTTGCCTTACCACATTAGCACAGATTCAGTTATCGATTCAAATCCCATAGTGGTAGAGGTACTGAAAGTATAAGTAGTGATAGGGAACATTAAGGTTTGATGATGTTAGCCCGACCGTAGCTGCTACCTTGACGTGGTGGTCAGGCTTGCCTATCGCGATGACCCAACCGAGCTATATTGGCTGGAACACATGTTCCTGCAGGTTCTACCATGCCAGGCAGGTCGACTGGAGAACGGCAAGACTAAAAGCAGCAACTCAAGGTCTGAGGGCGAAGTCATACTGCTGAATGTACAGAGGTGTGACAGCAGTAAGGTGTTTCCCTCGGACAACCAGCATCTGCAGCGATGCTGCCTTCTCACAAGGAAGGAAGGGGTTAGAAAAGGTTGACCCTAAAAATGTCACACCTCACCTTACCCCACGGATTTCCGTCTCCGGCGGTAAGGCCCTTTGAAGAACGGAGCTAACACATTAAAAACCTCCCACAAAAAGGCCGTGAGCGACCGGCCTCAAGCAGTTGTCCCTTGGACTCTGAGGTCACGCATCCAGGTCGCTAAGACCAACACTAATCCGATTTCCTTTTCAGGTTCCTCAAGAAATACCCTTCCACGGTGTGGGCAACCGGGAAGTAATATCAGCCCTCATACCCGTAACAGCACACATCACCACTCAAACACAAACTCATACAGAATTGAAAATAAAATAAACTGATTCCATAAGGCATAAATTGAAAGAAGTGAAAATGCACTGAAATTCAATGAATGAAATTCACTTTGAATCAATAAATGATTCCTCTTTAATGTATTACTTGAAGTATCAGCATCCCTAAAAGATAATGATTGGTTTTAAATAAATTCTTTCATTAGCAGTTTTTTTTATGTCATCAGTTACGTTGCTATGTATACGAAAATTTCACTGGATTGACTTTTGTGGATGAATTACAATAAATTTCGAAAATACTTTTTTTAATCGGTATAAATAACAATTTTTTGTATAATTCATCTGATCATCTTAGAACAAAGATATTCACTACAGTTTTAACATTAAATTCTCTTTTTTGTGCGATGTATTATCTAATCTTTTTTAAAACCAAGAAGTAGGAGTTAATTTTCTAAAACAACATTAAGAAACTAAAGAAAACAAGAGAATATTTACTTTATCTAACTATGTAAACTAATAAATCTTTATTGTTTAGTTGGTAAAGTCCCTAATTATGGACTACTTATTATTATTATTATTTTAACACAAGGAGGCACCAAATACATATGCGCCACACAAATCTCATTTGATTTGTGTGAGGGCTGTGATACTGACCGGGTGCCCAAACCGAAACAGGTGGTTTTCTTGGGGGAACACACCCCAAACCTTCGGCCTGGACGTCTGATCCACAAGGCAGTGGAGCATCGTAAGGAGATGTAGTCCCATGGTAGCCGGTGACCAACGATTGATCCATCCGCCATTTTTTCCTTCAGGATACTGGAGCCAATGCGCATCATTGGTTTGGGATCCGGTTAAAGCCGGTGCCGGACATTCGCTTTTCGTCCTCTCATTTTCGTAAACAACACCCGTGTTGCGAGTATGCAGTGAATAGGACTTCCCTGGCAGAGGCTATATACGCGTGGCCATGTGAGAGCATTTGGAGAAGGAGAGCGGACTCTCCCCACTCTCGGCCGTACCAGGGCATTTGGGGGCTATTATGGACTACAGCGGAATTTTGACGAGTAATGACCATGTCCTCCAGTCGCAACTAATTCATAAATGGAAGACAAACATTGACCAATATACTTACTAAATAAACATTCAGACGACACAGCCACCTTTCATGCATTGAAAAAAATCAACTTACAGTGTTGCACGGATTGTGGTTATACAAACAATTCAATGGTAAGATCTTGTAAGTGATAAAAACGGAGGACAATCTTCAACAAAACTACTCAATATTTCAAATACTCCATCACAACTAGAACGAAACTCATGACCTACTGGTCTTGAGATGAAAAAAGCAAACACAGTTATAATTCTATGATCTACAGTTCGGTCATTGAATTATAAGATGATACGAATATCACTGTTAGGTATTATTTTTAACATGGAATGATATCCGATAAGAATTCAAGGATAAACGCAAAACGATAAATAGTACCTTGTTCCAGTCTTAGCAACGACTATGAAGGTGCAATTTTAACCACTTTGGTTAATAAAGTCAGCGCATCCAAATCGTACAACTAGATAACATTCAAGCTACCATGCCTTAATAAATGTCAGTAAAACTATATACTTTTTTTAAATAGTACTTTAAGTTGACTGAAAAGACTGACTGAAGTGTAAAAGATTAGAGGAATAACAGGCATATTTCGTTTAGCCGCTAAACTATGGTATGAGCTCTACTGAAGCACTGGTTCAAACCCGTCACCCGACATCAAGATTAGCAGTCCGATAGTACCACTAACCCATACAAAAACTGTCTAAAAGTCGAGTATGTCAACCTGTCACATGGTTATTGAATCAAAAAACCATTCCACTGAAACCAGATAAGAAAAAATATGACAACTTAAGTTCGCTTAAAAATCATAAAAATGTATGGTTTTGAAAAGGGAATTGGGTTAACTCACACATAGAAATATAGCGGTATATATTGCAATTGAGGTATGTCCAGATGGGAAAGATTTTCTAAAGTATAAAATTGGGATGAAATGAACGAAAAAGAATGTAAAGTAGAATTGATGATAAAAAAATTGATTACAATTATAAGATAGCACCCACATAAACCCGCACGCATCATGTAAAAATAATAAAAAGTCAGTACCATACCATAATTATTACGATTTTCTAGTTGAAGTCACTTATTCAGTCAATACCTTCAATTTGAAGTGTGCATAATTAAAAGGCCATAAAGTTCATGAAGAGACCAGTAATTCTTAGGTCGCACAGTGACAGGACTGAGTTGAGTAGATATGATTGTTGAACAGACTATATAAATTAGACGCTATTTTCATATCCCTGGAGCTCTTCATGAAATCACTATGTTTGAGTAGTGTTAGTAGGTCTAGACTAAGTTATTAGGATTTGAGGGATAATCGACATCAGTGACTCAAGAATTCTATGATATGGTGGCAGTGGCAGTGCACCAGGTGCATTCACTCATCTACCCCCAATATCTTCAATTCTAAAATACAAACATTCTTTTTTGAGAAGTGATTGTTAGTGTTAGCCGTTCTTTCGAAAGATAGCCTTCAGGTATTTTTCTACCCAATCAACTTAATCAAAAAACACCAGCCAAACGCATCAGAAGAAACAAATTCAAGTACAGAAATCAACAAACGGATCACCCTGTCATATATAAAAGGCATATCAGAAACTACAACGAGATTGTTGAAGCCTTTTGGAATAGGTGTAGCACTTCAATCACTTCGATCAATCTTATTCAAACCAAAGGATGGAATGACAAAGGAAGAGAAACCGGACATCACCTACAAAATACATTGTTCCAACTGAGAACACTACATCGGACAAAGCGGACGCCCTGTTCATCTTTGCCTGCATTAGCTTATATCAATGCATGTGGACAACTGTGGACACGTATTCGACTGGAAAGATATTGAGATCTTAGATAGAGGCGGTTCTAAAAACACCAGAGAATTTTTAGAGGCTTGGCATTCAGGTCAGTCAGCAATCAACAAACACATTGAAATCGATACAATTTATTAACCAATCAGAAAAATTGTGGGCAAATATAAAACGAAAAATCAAATCAATGGGAGATACAACCAAAATAAAGAAGTAAACAATGACAGGTTAAAGGTCAACCAATCAACATCGAGATCTACAGGACAAGCTCTGAGCCATATGTAGGGAACTTCAAACACTTCACTTCTACCCGAAGTTTGTGTTGATGATGTCGTTCAGAATAACGACGAAAACTCCACAACCGAACCATCCAGCTCAGAGAACAAAACCTCATCAAAAACTATATTTAGCCTTTTTGACATTATCGATTGTACCGTTATTTCGATTTTCATGGTTAACAAGTGATAAACTGATCATAATTTTGAATTTTGGCCTCAGTACTCATATTAGCTTTGAGGTTTGAGTAGGTAAAAGCCTATATTTTATGCTGAAGTAGATTTAGGAAGGTAATACTGAGTTTGCACATACTTTTACTGTATACAGCACATCAATAATTATTTACTGATACTGAATTACTTAGAAATTAAGAAAATAATCAGCCTTTGACAGTTCGTCAGGAAATGAAGAACGTTCATGTTAGATTAACGTCTGTTAAAGCATGATGACTTCTTAGATGGAATCTTAAAAACAGTTAATGGCTCAAAAGCTTGTTAGAAATGCTACATAATTTAGCGTAAGACTCATTGTCTATTGTGTTTTAAAATATTATAATTAAATGCTTAAAAAACGTTCAGAAAGTATGCAAACGTAAAAACCGAACATGGATTACAAATTTGAATGTTTTTTATCCTTTTAGTTGAAGAGTTAAATAGGATTAAGACCGCATAGAATGGAAAACAGCATGGAAGATTGTTACAAGGTCCAAACATCAGGAGAAAGTTCCAATAACTTTAGAACGTTTTTCGAATAAGTTTGACACATTTAAACGTGACTGAACAAATTCATCGACACCATCAACATCGATTCCTACACAGGTGTGCGTTGACCCATGTCAAAATACCATATTAGCATGACAAGATGACGATAAGAGAATAGAGAAATAATATGGTAGTAATATTGAGAAGACTAAGAATTGGTTATATAATTTGAAAACGTATGGCTGGAGAGACAATCGAGTTTAATATCGAGAAGTAAAGATTTAACGTATCTACGCCATAATTCTGTCCCACGTCATCCGAAGCTTCCGAGCATTGAGCGCGGTTACCATGCATACCCCAACCAAGTAATTTGCATCTACCAACAATGAATGACTTTATGGATTGATATGATTTTTAGGTCTGGTCACCAGCTTTTTTCCGATCTACTTCAGCATTAGAAAGTATAGCTTGTCGAGGTTGCCGGTGATTGCATTACTACCAAAAAGCTCTGATATATTGTCGTAAATATTGCAAAACATTTTTATCGCACATTGAAAGATTATTTTTTGACCTTCCTTGAAAAACTATTAGAGTTAAACAAGCTGTTGTAGTAGTCCCATCCGAATAAATTCAAGATAAAAAGTACAGCGGATAAACATAGCTTGTTAATATCAAGTGTTATGTAGTAGCGTGCTATAGTACGATAGAGCTCGATTACATAGTCCTAACTTCCTAGTAACCAAACAGATTCACATCTATTGTGAAGGCTGATAAACATCACTCAATTGATAAATTGAATGAAGCAAAATATTAGAGCTGATTTATCACTCGAAGGACCACATGAACCTTACCAAGTGAAAGGTGAACTAATCGATAAAATACAATGCTCTGTATTCCGAAAAATCTATGGATCATGAAAGCGTTACTTTCAAAGAACAAGAAATGTTTCTGTGACTCGACGATTCGAAATCTACCATAAAAACAATCGTGTCATAGCCGTCTTGTCAACAAAAACTGGTTATTACCTCAGGCCACTTGATTTGTCTGATGAACAAGTAAAATTACCAACAAAACCCAAGATCGTAGTTTGAAGGTCAGAAGGTTTGCATGCATCAAGAAAATTTGGACGGAGACGACCGAGTGAAACTTTACCTACATCCGTAAGACCAATAGTAGCAAAGTATCCAAAACAAGCAACAATGAGGGAATCATAGATTGGATACAAAACCTACAAAGTTAAAAATTTCGTGATTTCCAATCCGATAAACAAACCACCGGTAATCTATGATGAGTTTTTCTTAAAGATTTCGCACTAACAATTACTTCACCCACAACTATCTGAAAGCAAATTAATATAAAATCCTGAGAGCAGGACGAAAATACCGTAATCAATATTAGTAGTGAGGAAACCACATAAAGGACAGTACTTGAGATAGTGTTCTGCTTAAATGGTTTTTTGATTGATTCATCTTGAATAAAGTATCCTCTTTTGTATGGATCAATATTCTGCAGAACAGTATTGGTGACTATCACTATCAATTGAGAACGGTTTGTATGGGAAATAAACTGAAATTACGAGCAACGATAAAACCAAAATCCGATCCCACTCTAATTATACCGCCAATCAATGGTTTCATGATAAACGATACCAAATGACAGTAGGATCTCAACACACTAATGCTTTTGAAAATAAAAAAAATGCACCAGCGTTATTGAAGAACAACATAAAACAAGGAGACAAAAGCATTTTAAATTATTTTGTAAAGCAAGAAATGAATATGACAGCCTTTACGAGTTTTCAGAACTTAACATCTAGGAATTTACTAAACAGTAAAGCCCACAAAATGCCCTGGTACGGCCGAGAGTGCAGAGAGTCCACTCACCCTCTCCAAATGCTCTCACATGGTCACATCTATACAACCACTGTCAGGGAAGTCCTACTCACTGCCTTCTTGCACTACGGGTGTTGTTTACGAAGATGAGAGGACGAAAAGCGAATGTCCGGCAATTTAACCGGATCCCAAACCAATGGTGCACATTGACTGGCTCCAGTATCCTGAAGGAACAAATGGCGTATGAACCAATCGTTGGTCACCGACTACCATGGGATCGCATCTCCTACCGATGCTCCACTGCCTTGTGAATCAGATCTTCAAGTCAAAGGTTCGGGGTGTGGGGCCTCCTAAGAAAACCACCTACTTCGGTTTGGGTACCCGGTTAGTATCACAGCCCTCACACACAATTCAAATGAAATCTGTGTGGTGAATATTTAGTTGGTGCCTCCTTGTACCACTATCTATGTGTTAAAATAAATAATTTACTTAACAAAAAATGCTTTTGCATATGAACGAGCATTAAGAGGACTGGTTTGTACCTTCAAGAACAGACCGAGTCTTCTAGTAACTAATAATTGTAGGGTACTATGTAAGCCTCCTAGTTTATCCATATTTATTATGTCTGACGATTAGCTTTATCAATAAAGGGAATATGATAGCCGACCTCAATACTGTTTTATTTTGTACTCAACCATATGTGGTGATTCTCCGTTATCTCATACATACATTTAGCACCAATACATCAACCAGACCCTATTTGCCTGATTAAACATAATTATTTTATTTGTTATTTATTTGAACACATAAATATTGGTACAAGGGGGCACCAAATATATATGCGCCGAACATAAACATCAACCAGAAGATGTATATCGAGAAGTAAAATAGGTGGGTAACAAATATCCCGATCTCATAATTTTAAGGGAATATTCGTGCGTTTGGGGTAAATTTTGAGGAAACCGAAGCAAAAAAACTTTGGGGAAATAGCACAAAAACCCCAGCATTTCCCCAGGTCTGAGAAAATCCCCAAAATGTTTGAAGAAATTCTGGATTTTTCCAAATATTCTCACAGGATCTTATAACACTTTGAGGAAAACTACCATATTTCTTACGATTTTGAGAAAAACGCCAAAATTTATCCAAAAAAGTGAGATTAGAATGCATGAAATTCATGTTGAGACTGCAGATGATTCAATGAAACAACTTGACAGATCTGTCGTATTCAGTCACACAATGAGGAATTCATGTCATTCTATATACAAAAATGTAAGACATACATAACTAAGAACTTCAGTCAACAAAGCACAACTATCACGATAAATGTGACATCATCAAACCCTGCGCGTTGCCGTAGAGAGGATTAAACAGACATAAAATCACTATAACAAGTGAAATATGATTGATTTATTAGAGAACCCTATTTGTACTTTACGTTTGTAAAGAAAGGCTAAAAGTCATCAACATACAGTGAAATATGTAGTAAGTCTTCCTCGCGGATAAATCAATATAAAATCCAGTATTTTTGTCACAAGCTTGTATAAACCTATTGATTTCTTGGCTCTCTCTTCTTGTTGTTCTTGTACGGTTCCGGGTATTCCATAATGACAGACAGGTAATTAATTCTAGCCAATGTGGTAGCTATTTTTGGGTTTGTATATCTTGTAGTTAAGTGCGCTTGTCGTGAAAAAGCGTGTACTTAGAACAGACTTATCTTGTAAATAGGTTTTGCCACTACTTGCATTTCTTTTATTAATTCTCATAAGTGGTACAGGTACTATGATTGACTATAAAATAGTTGTTTAAAAAATATGACCTTTCGTTCTCAAATCCCCTGGTTGTCGCTCATGAATACGCTGATACACATATATGCTTCTTGTTCTTAATTACCCGCTGTTATAATGACAGAACTTCAATATATTTACTATCTATGTTTACAGGTTTTAGTGATATTCTCATTATATGCTTTATCTGGATATACATCTCGAACTATAACAATTGTGTTTGGGATTATTAACAACTTATAATTGTGGATTACCAGACCAAAACAAACACGAACATGCCAATTACTGGCAATTTGAGTGACACCCTGTATATTTTTCTTGGGTATATAGCATATATTTGATATATTATCATATTAATTTTTGACGTTGTAAGTTTGTCATTATTTTCGGAATTGATATATTTTTGGTCCACCACAGAAGTAAAGTCTCTGGATACCAGAAGCTGTCACATTACAGACAGAGGGTTGAGTGATTGCAGTATAAAAATAATAGTGATAATCCGGGTGCTAAGAGAAGACGATTGTTTCAAGAGTGAATAAATAAGTGGCCTAATTGATAATGTTCAAGAAGATTCAAATGGTTGGTTATGCGAGTAACGGAGACTATAATAAGGGAAATAGGAAGTAGTTACTAGTTGTGCAGTAATAATAACTGCGTTAATTTATGAGACATGCATCAGATACTGATGGTACAAGAGGGAGATGGTAATCCACATGTGAGTACATGTTCGTCTAGTCACCTCTTCAAGATATCCATTGAGGGGATGTGGTCACTTTCGGCTGATATAGCATTCCAAATGAGTCAACTCATAATGAAACATTTGAGAGCGTGCTTGGGCGTCCGTTCTTTGATGTGCAGTTTTTTCGAGAGCTGCTTTGAAGAGTGGAGTATTTATGTTCTGGAGACATGCTCGCGTTGGGGTGTTCCGGCGTCAGTAATTTGTGTGCGCCATTATCAGACCACCCCTCATTCTCCTGTAACTCGATGAGAATAATCCTAGTAGTTGTAGTCTATCCTCGTAAGTTTCATGTTTTAGCCCTATTATCCATTTGGTTGCCTGTCTCTGTAGTTGGTCTAAGAGATACATCTCTTCTTTAAGTAAAGAGGGAATGGTGACATTGTGGACTTCAAGGTGGAGCCATGCGTACGTTTTAAACAGTGCCAGGAACAACTCTGAGGAAATTGCGCTAAGTGACCTAATCACAAAGTGGAGAGTCGTGTTTGTCTTGGCTGCATCTTCAATTTAGTTTGAGCTGGCGTCTAAGCTCTCAGTGGTTACAAGCTCGAGAACATGCTCTGAGAAAATAATCATGAGTGGATTTCCATGAAGAGTGTAAGTGCTTTGTGTCGAATGAGACAGAATGTTCATGACACAACGTTTAGACAGGTCAAGTTTTGACCTATTGTTTACTGCCCATTCCTCTGTTGTTATAAATTTTTTTCAAGCTCCAGTGAACGTCATCCGCCTTTCATGGATCTTTAGATGTTTTCGTCATTTGCACAGATTAGTACTAACAAGCTTATGTTTACTCGCAGGGTGGTAATACAGATTGAGAACAGGAGTGAACCTATCATCGCTTATAAAACTCATGGGTGCGAAACTTTCTGACTGGTTTGTATTCTATTTACCTCCGTTTGAAACATCCTGGAGTCAGCATAAAAGTGGTTCAGAGAAACTCATCTTTGCAACTTTCGCGAGGGGGAGTACATGAGGTACTGTATCAAAGGCTTTAACGAAACCGAAGGATATTATGTGATTCAGTATCTTTGGCCCCAGTAGTTCTCTCAGCTTTTGAATACTGTAAGTAGATTGAACGCACAATTCCTGCCTTGTATGAAACCGTGATGGGCTTCATTGTTGTTTCGATGCACTATCCCATTTGTTCGCTAACCGGTTCTTCCATTACATTTGAGGGGATCGTTAGCAATCAGACTGGTCTGTGACAGCCTGAATCTTTTCTATTATTCCATTTAAAGCACTCGCTGGTGTGCTGGTGACTTCTGCGCACTGTTTCGGGATTATTAATATGGTGTTGCCATATTCGGATGACTGTCGTGAACGCAGGGATTTCAGTCAATTTAATACCAGCTTGGGCGTTGGCTGGACAACTACCAAACCCTCAGATGACATTAAAGTCGAGACATTTGATGCGTACAGGGTTCAGTTAAGTTAGTCTATAAAGTTGCAATTGAAGGTCTCTGACATCTCTAAACTTGTGCTATCTTCGCCATTCGGGTCTTCAAGAGTCTCCATACCTTGGTTCGTGAGCTTTTCTCTGGTCACAAATCTTCAAAGATATACGGATTTTACCGTCCCAGTCGCATTTCATTGCGTAACGCACATATTCATCCAGCTCTGAAATTCCAGAGGCTGTGGCAAGCCGTTTATGGAACCGTCCTGTAGGGTTCGTACCCTGCTGACTGAGATTTAGGAATGGAGTCTTCAGTTAGTAGTACTTGGTCGCACCCCAGAAGTGGTTGCTGTAGCATCACCTCTATTATCTCAACGTTTTGGGCGTTAGAACCTGTGGGGGACGGCATATTTTTCCAACCAAATACTGTGTGCCGTTCACGCTGACTCAACACCAGCAAGATTTCGTTATCTCGAACAATTCCACACTGTGTGGAGTTACGGCTTTGAAGTAGCTGTTAGTATGTATTGCTTCTTCACCTCCTATTTGTGTACTATAGTACCGGAAAAGTGCCATGTCTCTCATGCTCATATGTTCATTTTTTTCCTTCAGAAGTCTCGTCTCGCATACTCCCTCCTTCAATTTACTCATATTTTAACTTTCAAGTCTATTGAACAGCTCATACGGTAACAACGCTTCCGATAGTATATACACTATAACTACAAGAATGACTAGCAGAGGTAAAGATCTCAATTTGGAGGTTATCGTTCATTCGAAATCCCCATTTCTAGCAACAGAAATATCAGCAAGCTCAAAATAACACCAGAAAAAGAATCTCTGAATAATTTGTACAGAATGGACCACTCACCTCAAACAATGAAACTAAATC